TAAAATTTGTATCACATATGATCTCCCTAAATCCCTGCCAGTTCCTCGATAGTTCTAGGAGAGTTCCAGGAGCTGGCGAGTTTCTATGCATAGCGCCTTGTTCGAAGAACACCTCTGGCCCGGCTAAATCACGAGATGATCGGCCAATTAGATTTCGGATTTTTTCTTTAGCCGGATAAGCATAACGGGAATTCGGGAAAATGATTACGAATAAAATGCATGTGCAAAAAAATACTATTTTTTCTGATGGTAGAGTCTGGACAAGCTTGTCCGAGCTCGTCAAAATTGCGCAGAAGAATAAATAATCGTGTAGCGTAGTATAGTATGTCAAGTGAAAATTTATGGCGCAGTACTTCTGGGTAAATCTAACATATTTTACGAAATTCTTTTATTTCATATTCCAAATGCATTGCAAAGCAAATAAAAATATAAGCCCGAATTGTTGGGCAAACTTTATTAAAACGTAGGCTTCAAACTAAAAATGATGATCGAGGTTGGACAAGCTTGTCAGCAATTAATAATTGATTTCATCTATAGTTGCCAACACATTGACATCCGTGCAATAAAGTAATACCGATGCATACGCATAAATCCCGATGTGGGCCGATTAACTTTATAAATATACGAAACCATAACGTCATATGACTTGTGATGCAGTAGTAAGATTATTTATCAGATTTACGCTAGTCGCCAAATAATGATACTTTGATGGTTGTATTTTTTATTTTTTCGCTTCACATTACATGTCCATACAATGTTAAAAATCAAATGCCCAATTTGAGAAAAACTTACAGTGTAATACATTAAAAAATTGACTTTACTAATAATTCTTATAATTTAGTAAATATCAATCAATCAATTGCAGGAGGTGGAATTTTCAAGTCTGGGATGTGAACTTTGTGAGGAGATGAATTTGATTCTCTATGATACGAAAGGCCGGTAGGTGTAGATGGTCTTTTCAATTCCTCAATAGAACGATCGACCTTTTCCTGAATAAAAGAAATAATTAAAAATTATAATATGTAGTAACTAGTCTAAGAATTACAGCAAGATTCTTACCAACAAACTATAAAAAGTCGAGATAACAGTTACTAGATTTAAAAAATTTGCATCTTCAGTAGGTAATAACATCCTTCCTATTTGCTTGAAACGATATAATCCGTCAAACGCAAGATCCATGCTAAACAGTTCGACTTGACATCCTGATAAATTTATGTCTAGTCAGTTGGCAAGGTTGGCCCAGTTAAACTATAGTAAAATTCCAATAATGATAATCTAACCTTTAATTATGCCTCCAAATGTTTCTGAACATGGAGAATACCCAAACCGCTCATGTAGAGAATCCAGTGATCCTTTCATGAATTCGGCAAGTTTGATCAAAGCGTGGTTTACTACATTATTTGAGGCACGAGGTGGCTTTATTTCTCCAAAGATAATTTCATTCTCTTCTTCAAAAAGCACTCTGAAATCTGGTTTCCGGCCATGTTGGTTGTCATCAGACTTTCGTCGTTCTTTCGAGCTACTAGATTCTCCGTTTGCCCTAATTTCACAAATGCAATTAAATAAAAAATATGATCTCAAACATTAGTGGTATAATATTTAGTATAAACATAGGATTTTTTTTCTTACCACAAGAGTTTATAATTCGTTGTATTAAAGATTTCCTCCAACATTAAGTGACAGTATCTATGAACGAAGGTGTCTTCGTCCATAATATTATTGCCGGTGTTTCTTGACGATATATTCAAAAAACTGTAGAATACAAGATAATCATGAGTGTACAATTAATGATAAAACAAAATAACTTGAATTCTACACTTACAAATTCCTAGTTACAAGTTGCACGCAATCAAAAATATTGGCTTCTTTCTCGGTCATTGAAGCATCACATTCGGCCCATGTTTGACGCCACTTTTCTTTCAATGATTTTTTATCCGTTAAAAGCTAAAAATCAAATTATCATTATTGATTATTTATTACAATGTTCTCACTATTCTATGGAACTTACTGTATTATAATCCAACATGAATAACCGAACTTTAAGCGGTAAGGCTATAGGAGTAAGCGATCTGTGCAACGCGCTCTTCCAAATTTGGTCAGTGCAATTTATATATATCGGCTTATCTTCTTTCACATAAATGATTGATGAAAGACACCTGCAATTATGATAGAAGTTAAATATTGAAGGAAAAAACAAAACCAATTACTTTTGCATAACAAGATATTTACATGATTTCATCAGCATCGGTCGCGTAGGAAAGTCTCGGATTGTTCTTTAATCGGTCAACCGTTGCTAGTTGAAACTCTCGAAAATCTCTAGAAATATTATACCCGTTTGCTAACCACTATGGGTAAAAATAATTATTAATCAATGTTTACTATACATGACGAAATTATAATATTGTAATACTTACATCATGATCTGAATTATTGGAAATTTTGATCTTATCAATAACATGTCCCCACGAGAGTATCGTCTTTGACTGCATAAATATTAATCGATAAACGTTCATGAACCTGCCTAACTGTGTAGTCAATTACTTGAAAAGCTATTTACCTTCTCCGATTTTTTTGTTTCTTCGATAGATGATTCGGATTCATCGCTGAGTGTTTGTCTCGCATCGACAATCTCATCTTCTGTTCCGCTTTGTACATTCATAGAAGGGTTTTTGTTACTTGATTTATTTCGTTTGGCGCTCTTACTTCCGGTACTTTTCATTAACCTACGCTTTTTAGACTTCGGTTTGGCATCTTTAACAACATTGGGAGGACCTTGGAAGAAAATGTCGATTTCATCCTGCAGAAATACAAAGTCAGTCGCAATACAGATTAGAAATGAGTGAGCTTATGCACATAATGCGACAAACAAAACGGAAAAAACATTACTGGGGAGGCCTCAGCATCCTTAACTTCGGTTGGATCTTCGCTGTAATCGACAAAAGAATTATCCCCGCTTCTATAAGATGGAGGGGGAGAGCGACCGCAAAGGTTGAGAGTAGGTGTAATAACAGGAAAAGTTTCTTCAACTGGTTCATTCTTTGAAATTTACATCCGTTCGTGAGTGATGTACAATTTATAGATGCAGGACAAAAAGTGCAAAAAAACATAACTAATTTAACTCACTGAAAAAAGAGGACAATTATCATTTTTCGAGACATCCTGAACCTGTATTTAAATGATAAATAAAAATATTATGAGTTAATATTTATAAGTATATGTTTTCTCAAATCAAGAAAGTACCTTCTCCTTTTTCGTTTGCATTTTTCTGCTCGCTGAAGCAAATATATTCTCTTCATTCTGCACATGCACTACAGTCTATTATAGATAAACTATGAATATAAGTTTACTATTCAGATATTAATTATAATTAATGTCTCAGCATCAACCAACCTTATAAATAGATTTTCCATATTTTCCGTTGTATACCTGTTCGTATGGTATTCGAAGGCTTTCATAAGTTCCTTGGTTTGGGGAAGCTGTTTTATGAAGGATTCTGTAAGTAGCGCAATCAAGTAATGAATCAGTGTCTAGTTATTACATTCACCTCTTTAGCATTAAGGATTTTCTCAGCAACAACACGATCGAGTCGTGGTAACGATCTATGGTTAACTATAAATTCTGACGAGCCGTAAAAGTCGGTCAAACACGTTTCCCATAACGGTAATTCACTTTCATTCTTTGTAATCCAGTCGACATAGTGTTTTAAACCCCAGAAACCAGCTTCAATTGAGGTGAAGTAAGGATGTATCTTTTCCGAAATAAATGTCATTTTAGATTTTATTTTTTAGTAGAACGCGAGATAGTCGCGAGATACTACTACCTAAATAATGTCACACCTTTGCTCGTATTAAATACATAAAAGGAAGGATCTATTTTTGAATATGATCGGCAAAGGTCATGTGGGGGTGAAAAATTTTTATGGCATATAACTTTTTCGGAACAACGAACTTTACTCAGATCTAATTAAGTGGCAGAATAAATGACAGTTTGTCATGTACAGACCCAGTTGGCGGTGGCAAACTGAGAATGTGAACTTTGCTCAAATCTACTCATGTACAGACCCAATTGGCGGTGAGAAGATTTGTCATCAAGAGCCCTTTGTGATGAAAAAGCCAGTTTGTCATGTACAGACCCAATTGGCGGTGGCAAACTGAGTTCACTTCCTCCAAATGTTCCATGTTCGACCCAATTGGCGGTGGACGTTTGGCTTTTCAGCAAAAATCAATTTTATTTGAAGTACAACCACAAGTGAAATATATAATGATATCAAAGAGGGAGGGAGTACGCGGATCCTAGGCCATTTAATGCGAGTCCCAGCATCAAGTTATTTCTTTACGAAAAGTATCTATAACTAATTTTTTTATACTTCTAATTACGTGATTTTCATCCCAAACTCTTTTAATATACTAAATTTCCGAAATAAATTATCCCACTCATATTTACAGAATTTTTGTCTATCTATATCTCTTCCAAACACGCAAACTATATAAAACATTATTCCTCGAGAGAGAACTTCTCTGAGATTAAGAAATTTCAAACCTATAGTATAATTACGGAAGTATTAGCAACTGAGGTAAAAAAATAAATAATACAATATCACGATTCATTTTCAAATAATTCCATTCCGCCTCATACACGATATTTATTGCTTAATTTTTCTGCTTTATCGCCGGTAAGATACTGCGCAAAGTTTTAAGAATTCGGCACGTGAAGATGCTTTATATAAGATAAATTTTTTTGATGCATTGCGCCAGACTTTTGCTGTGCTGTTGCATGTGATGAGATTCATTTCACTGCATCTATTGTACGCGTGATGATGGTCAGTGATTTTATCGACGAAGATCAAAATGCCGATATACAATAAGAAGAGCGTTTTATTATGGAACATCTATAGAGGCGGGGAAATCGATTAGCATCGTGATGACATGTTTCAAGAAGCTAACCCGAACTATAAAACCAATATATCTTATTATTACAGTTTGCAGATTATACTCGTTTGTTTGAATGTTAATATGGTGATGTAAATATTGGTAAGTTTGAATGTTTCGCTTAATTTTTTGTTTTTATTTGCACAAGGCAGATAAAAGGGTTCACTAACTATATCACCTTTTTATATAACAGTCAGGGATTTTACCAAATATAGAATTTCTAAATACAGTGTTGATCGACAAATGATCGACATTCTAGAAGTTCATAGAAATTCGCCGATCATTCTAAAATTATAAATGATCGATAAACTGAAATATATTAAATATATTTAAACCGTGACCGGTGGCTTATGTTTTTTTTAATTTCTTTTTTATTATTTTTAGCGGAAATGCGGGACCTTTTTGCATGGTATGGTGAACAATTACATAATCAATCAACTGTGACTGTCGTCTAGAGCAATTCATTAATAAGTTTTTTTTTTATTTTAATTTTAATTTTTTTTTTTATTCTTTTTTTCCTTCTTCCTCTCCCTCTCTTCCTTTCTTTCTCTTTTTCTCCCTCCTTTTTTTGTAAGAACAATTTCAGATTCTGAATTTTTTTGGAAATATATTTTTCGGTAAGTTTTGGACGAAATGGGTGGAGTTCTTCATTAAGAAAAAACATTACTAACGTTCTTTTTCCTTTATTTTTTTTGTAGAAACAACTTCTAGTAACCTTTGGCTCTTGGAATTTCTCTTGGATCAGCTCTTGAAGGTAGGTTTTGAATGGGTGGGATTCTTCTTTAAGAAAAAATGTTACTAACGTTCTTTTTTCTTTTTTTTTGTAGGAACGGCTTCTAAGAACATTTGGATTATGGAAGTTCTCTTGGGTCAGCTCTTGAAAGGTAGGTTTTGAATGGGGTGGGATTCTTTTTTAAGAAAGAATGTTTCTAACGTTCTTTTTTTTTTTTTTTTTTATAGAAATGGATTATAAGAATTTTTGGATTATAGAATTTCTCTTGGATTGGTTTTTGGAAGGTAGGTTTTGATGGGATAGGATTCTTCTTTAAGAAAGAACGTTTCTAACGTTTTTTTTTCTTCCTTTTTTGTAGGAACGGCTTCTAAGATTATTTGGATTATGAAATTTCTCTCAGATCGATTCTTGAAAGGTAAGTTTTGAATAGATGGGTTTTTCCTTAAGAAAGAATGTTATTAATGTTCTTTTTTCTCTTTTTTTTTTATAGAAACGATTTCTAAAAACCTTTGGATCATGGAATTTCTCTTGAATCAGCTTTTGGAAGGTATGTTTTAAATGGAGTAAAATTCTTCTTTAAGAAAGAATGTTATTAACATTTTTTTTTTTCTTTTTTTATAGAAATGGCTTCTGGATCATAAAATTTCTCTTGAATCAGTGTTTTAGCTTTATAATTTGTTTCATGAATTATGTAATTAATAGCAATAGTATTTTATTTAATAATATCTTAATATTTTATTTATTTGATAATATTAGTTGGTAATGTATAAAATTTTTGAATACATTATAAATAAATAAATAGATTATTCAAATATTATGTTTCTTCGTTAGTATTAATACTATTTTCAGCCAATATATTTCTAATCTCTTGAAGGATATTTACTAAATCAGTACAGGATTTATTTAATAAATCTCGAAAACGCGATCGATCTAAATCACCTAAAAAAGGAGTTAAAGAGTTAATAATAGATAAAATTTGTACTTTTGTTAAGGAATTCTCAGCTTTCTGAAGATCCGCTTCTTCACATGTTACAGAAATTGGATGCTAAGTGTCCAATGATATTTTTTTAATTAGCTTTGCTTTAATAAATTTAATTCTTTTCATATATGCAATTTTACTAAACCTTTTCATTTTTTCACTTAAGGTCCAATCTCTACTCATATTTTGAAAAATACGATTACTGACATTTGGATTTACAAATTGAGTTTTTCTTATTTGAACCTGAAATTGACATAATTTAGCAATAAAACTGGGATGAGTATGAGGCCCATAAGTTTCACTTTCGAAAAATCCTATTATATTAAAAAGATTAGTACGTAACTTCAAAAATTTGGTACAATTACATGCTGCAATTTCCTAATGTCACTGTGAAGGTATAGGAGGAATTAATGACTTGAGTGCTTTGTTAATTTCTTCAAGTATTGCATTATGACCTTGATGTTGATCTAAAAGTTTAAATTGTGAAGTTACAATTTTTTCTTGGATTAAACTATATATTTCAGGTTTTAATCGTAACATTTGTTCTTCATTAGTAATATTAATTAACCAATAAATTAGATGCCGTCGAACAGACCAAATAGGTGCAAACATTCGTCTAGCTGCAATTTTTAATAAAGGCCTATTAAAATGAACCTCAGTACGAAAGTTAATGATTGCTTATAAATAAAAAAAAATTTGTTCATACTTTAATTTAAATGTAGAATCGGTTTGATTTTGAGCCCATTTTAAATAACCTTTAACAGAAGGATTTTCTTCAAAAATAATATATGGCTACATTAATTTAGAAGCTATTGCATACCTATATATATTACATATCAAGTTCTATGACTTATGATAATCAGAACATTTTTAAAAAAACTGAAGTTGATTTTCAGTTCAATACCCTTGACATTGAGCAAAATCTTTAATATCAATATTCTAATTTAACTCGACGAATATTTTTAACATGTTTATTTTTTCATGAAGAGCACCCAGAATTAATATAAGCCAAGGAAAATCCTTTTTATTTTTTATATATAATGATATGATACTCCATCACAAGTGACTACGATCTATTTACGGCTACTATTTTTAATTTCAGATATTTCTTCAATGTGTTTAAGAACTTTTTGAACATTAGTAATCGAGTTTGGATTAATTCCTATTGGATCTGAAATAAATATTTGTGGTGTATCCTCACTTTCTGGAATAGCTTGTGATTTACTTAATTCTTTAAATGTATGAGAATGAATAACTAGTGGTTTTTCAGTAGTATTTATAATCTCAAGTGATTCGTTAGATTGCTGACTTATCTCAGCAATGGTTGGTAATTTACTATAGCATGTAGGACAAACCCGCTTCTTATTATTGATGTTAGAAGTTTGACAAACTAAGCATTTTTTCTTATATCCCGTTTGACCTTGATTATGTACCAATTCATCAATTGTATTTTTTTCTTGATTTTTTTCAATACAAAGCTCTTCTAAAATAATAGAAAAATAATTAGTAAGTTCTTTATGAATTTCATTTTCATATTTAAAGTTAAATAAAATAATTTCTCATATTATTTTTGGGTGAGTTCAGAATATAACCAAGGATCTGTAGCTTGAATATTATTATTTTGATCGTAATTAAAAGCAATAAAACTTGTAATAATATGAAATATAACTGTATTATGTTCACGATCTAAATAATTTTTTTGACCTTTTTGCTCATTATTAAAAGCTAAAAATAAAAGACCTTCTGGAACTGATAATTGTTCTTTAGCTAAACTTTCTAACCAATTGGTAAACTTTGTATAACTACCAGAGCTAATAAAATGATTATCAATGTTGATAATTATTTTTGACCTTACCAATGAATATTTAATTGCTGAAGTAGCTAAATTAATAGCAGATACATATTTTAAATGTCTTAAGCTATATATAGTATCAACTGCTACTACACACTTAAAAAGCTTTTCTCCTTCTTGTCAATGCTCATTTTTGTTGTAAGTAAGAGTTTCTAAAAATTTTACAATAACTGGATTTCATTTAGCAAGCCATTTGGAAGGAGAATATTCTAAAAGACTATCCAAACAGAATCGCTCATGATTTTTCATTAAATCTGCTATATCTTCATATATATTA